CGTCGTCATCATGGGCTGTCTCAAGCAGCTATTCGGCGGCGCCGAGTGTGTCACGAGCCAAGCCCTTAATCGGTTCACCAATCGAATCGAGCAGACCCCGCGTTTCGAGGCTCTTGAACTAGTCAGGCCTTTCCCCCCGTACGTCTTCAGCCAGGACGGAGAGCGCGACCAGTGAACGACTACGATCCACAACACAAGATTGCCACTGGTGACAGCAATGTTTGCTTCCCCCGGTTGTCCTTCATCGTGGGCTCAGCCAGCCCGAAGGCCAGGCAGGGCCGCAAGTCCGCGTGGGCCTTGAGCGCCTGGTACGACGCCGTCTTTTCCGGGACGAGCACTATGTCTGAGCCTGCTGGTGCAACACAACAACACCGCCTCTCACGCTTTATTGTCGCAAGTCGACACTTTCCCCGCTTCCCGGAAGCAGGCTTATTCGCCTTCAATATCCACTCGAATACCTCTCACCCCCACTTCCTCCTCGGCAATGAGACGTCTTCACCAGCTAGCACGAGTCCCCAGCTCCGCACTTGAGCCACAGCGACGCGGAGCTACCTTGCGCACTCGACGACCCCGAAGAAGACGAGAAGAATGCCGACAGGCCTGGCCGGCGCGACGCAAGCACAACGAGCACAACGAGCACGCCAGAGGGTTTCGCGGTGCCGCACAGTCTGCTGCGAACGCCGATTCGTGCCACAGCCGGCACAGCTCAGAGAAGACACCGCATGGCAGCGGGACCAGTTTCCCGCCTCCCGCGATCGTGCGTCGCACCACACTGGCGACGACGAAGTTGAACGCCATCGGCGAGGGCGAGACCAAGCGCCGGTCGCTCTCGCTCGAGAGCCGCAAGACCAACGGCGTCGAGTTCGCGTGGGGCATCGCTTCGTGACTTTTTCCTTGGCTATCGTCGTCCGCCGGTAGGCCTTGCTGTGTGACGACTCACACTTGGCGGGCGTCCTTGCACTGCGATTTTCACCGTAGATGAGGTGGATCAACGCCATGGCATTCATGTAGAGTCACTTGTATGTATGGCGTACATTTATAATACATTTGCTTTCAATGCAACATATTCCTGTGCTACTGGAACTATGGTCCATCTATGCGCGAAGGCGTACAACATCCTGAATACATTATTGTATGCGATTACTGTGCAAGCTGTCTAGGTACCTATTCAGTCCTGAGAAATTTAGCTTATAACCACTCTTGAACACTACATCGTGCCCACAATATCCCGCGAAGCCCTCGCGATGCCAGTCTGGCGGAAGCCAACACAACCGCGACCGCCGAGACGGCGTCAAAGAGAATATCCAGTCATCCTCGATGTAGTATATAGGCCAGGTGCGGCGCGGAAGCCATGGGAGCGGGGTCGTCACCTGCGCGTCGGCATCTACAGGGGCCCACAACTGGACAAGTCGTTTACCGTCATCGACTAGGACTCCGGAGCCGTCGGGGGACAGGTGCAGGGTGCGGTACCAGGTATGTGGGTCGAGGGCGAGGAGACACGCGCCGGATTCGGCATCCCAGAGTCGCATAGTGTTGCGCCACTCGAAGGAAACGATGACGTCCCCGGCGGGAGCAAAGGCGACCGACCACACCGTGCTGGTGTGCCCCTCCAGCTCCCGGGGCAGTTCCCCTCCCTCTACATTCCACACCAGAACGAGATCGTCATAGCCTCCGAATGCAACACGCTCTCCACTTGGAGAGAAGGCGATGGAATGAACCGCGCCGTTATGGCCCCTACACGTCGCCAGGAATGCTCCGGTGGCAACATCCCAAATGACGACAGTCGTATCGTCGGAGCCCGTTGCAATACGTCTGCCGTCCAGCGAGAAGGCGACGGAGCGGACACGATCCGTAAATTTGCGAATGGGCTTGCCTGTTGCAATGTCCCAGAGACAAGCGGAATGATCATCTCCGGCTGCGGATAAATTCGGTACGAGCAGGTAGCGACTGTCTTGTGAGAACATCAGCGACGACGACTGGCCGCCGAAGCAGTGAGGGATGTAGCCCAAGACGGCGCTCCACAGAAAGGTGTGCTCGAAAGAGGAGAACCAAAACACAACGCTCAGCTCGCCCTCAAGCTGGAGACGCGGCGTCCCGGAAGCAGTGTCCCAGAGAGCCACCATGCCACGATTTCCCTCCGATGCGGTAAGGATCATTGCACCGTCCGGTGAGAACGCTGCGTAGTGCTTGTGCTTCGAGGGTACGGCCAGGGGCTTGTATGCGCGGCCCCACGAATCAGTCTTCGCCACCTCGATACTGGTACTGGTACTGTCGTTGTAAACCAGCAGCGCACGCGTCGTGCTGTGAGAGAAAGCGACTGAGGAGTAGCTGGTTGATTTCTCGCTGGATGGGTTGCTGGTGTTCTCGAGTCGTGGCTTGATCGCCGCAGGTTGCGTCACGTCCCACAGCCGGACAGTGCCATCCCTCGAGCCAGACGCGATGCGAGTCCCGTCGTGGTTATAAGCGACACTCGTGACATCCTTGGTGTGACCAGAGAGTGCTTGTCGAATCTCGCCGCGAGCAAAGTCCCAGACGAGGACAGTTTTATCTGCGGCGCAGGCGAGCACGTCTCCTGTTGAAGGAAAGCTGGGACTGTAGATCCCCTGGAACGATCGGCCTGATGGCCGGAGGTCACGGAGGTGCTTTGCGGTCTCGGCATCCCAGACTGACAGCTTCCCCGGCTTCGAGCCAAAGATGTACGATGCGATCAAAATTTGGGAGCTGTCTGGCGTGAAGGCAACAGCATCAGAAGGGAAGCATTCGCCTTTGGGGGTTTCCACGACACGATGAGTGTATGCCGGCGCCTCCAGGCTCCACAGAATGACTTGGTGGAACGAGGTCGACGCCATCCAACGACCGTCCCGAGACACCGCAATGGAACTAACCCAGTCATTGTTTGCGGCCAGGGTTTCCAAACAGACACCTGTGTCCACGTCCCAGATCTTGAGGGAACGATCCCTGGAGCCAGATACGATGAGGCTGCCATCGGGTGTGAAGACTGCGCAGTTCACGTCGTCCGTGTGCCCTTCCAGGGTGCGGATGAGCACACCGGACACTGCGTCCCAAATCTTGACTGTTCTGTCGGAAGCAGCAGAAGCTATGCGAGCGCCGTCTGGAGAGTATTTGACAGAGAAAACGCTGTTGGAATGACTGGAGAGGACCAATAGCAGGGCGCACGTCAGCGCATCCCAAATCCGTATCTCGCCGTCCAATCCTGATGAGGCAATCGTCCTGCCGTCGAGTGAGAAGTCGACCGCCGTGACCGAATAGCCCCCATGCGCGGTGACCGTGCCCAAGCAGGCATCCCACATGCCTGGCACGCTGCCGAAAACCTTGACAGAGACCTCGGAGAAGCATTCGTGCGCATACGTCCGTGCAAGTGCAGTCTTTGTCGGGATGAATGACAGGAGCGAATAGTACAGGTGTAGCGCTGAGCTGCTGATCGCAGGGAAGTAGCCGACAACCAGTCGTTCGCAGTCATTCAACAGAATGACAATGTCCCTCGCTCGGTCATCGTTAACACCCTGTCCAGGAACTTAGATGTATGAGCTATACTCGAGAGCAAGGCGCACTCACCCTCAGCTTCCGCTGGACCTCGTTGATGCCTGAGATGACATCCCTTAACAGTCCGAGAAGGCTGCAGGCCTCAACCCAATGCAGCAGCTGCCTTTGTACGAACTCAAGAAGCATGTCCAGGATCTCGTCTAACAGCTCGCCGTTCGACAGATGAGTGCACCAGTGCCGACAT